TCATGGCAGAGTGGGGGGGGGGGGGGGTGGCCTGCAGGTGGAGCCCCCCCACACCCTCTTTGCATAACAATCTAGACCAATAAAAGAATCATTGATAAAATCTCTGCCCTTCTAACCGAAGGCTGATGAGCTAAAAAGAACGAGAAACTTCAGAATGTGTATACTAGTCATGAAGCAGCCCCATGGCTGGACCAGGTGGCACTCTGAAGCCAAAGAGGTGGGGAAAGAACCCCGGTGCTAGCCTGAACAAAGGCATGGAGCTGCCGCAGGACCGGACGGGACCTCACCGACTATCTTGTGGCTGGAGCTTCATCAGCATCCAGAGTAGCTGCTGCAACTCTGAGCCTGTGCTATCATTATAGCTGCAAGTACCAGCAACATGGCACAGATATTTAAAGTTACATTATTTCCACTGTGGAATTTAGTTTTTCTGAATTAGTCCTTTTATCACCTGAATAAAACGAACTCCATGTACTGTTAAAGATAAATGACACTGGCCTATGTGGCTCAGTTGGTTGGAGCGTCGTTCTGTAACCAAAGGGTTGCAGGTTTGATTCCTGGTCAGATCATGTAGCTAGGTTGTACATTCAATCCCTGGTCAGGACACATAGAAGAGGCAGCCAATTAAAGCTTATGTCTCACATCAATATTTCTCTCTCTCCTTTTCTGTCTCTCTAAAAGCAATGTTCTCAGGTGAGGATTAAAAAAAAGAGAGAGAGAGAGAAATGCCTGAACTGGGTGGAACTTGCTGATGTGTGGTCACAGCCCTGGTTTGGTGCCCAGCATGGGCAGACCGGGACAACATGCCCAGCACAGGACGATGCCCAAACAGGCTCTGATTCTATGAAGACACGCCACTCCTTACATGTATGAAACAAAACCCCAAGTAGCAAAATTTAGAAATCCTTCCAGGAAGTATAGCAATATATGCATCTTTCTGGATTACAAACTGGTTAGTTATGTTTTGAAATTAACTGTACATTTCACAGACATTCTAAATATTCAAAAGGTTGTTTGAGGGAAGGTTAAGATAAATAATTTTCCTGCCATGTTTTCAGATATCTTAGGTCTTCTTAAAATGAATTATTTCCCAAGCCCTGGCTGGCATAGCTCAGTGGATTGAGCGCGGGCTGGGAACCAAAGTGTCCCAGGTTCGATTCCCAGCCAGGGTACATTCCTGGGTTGCAGGCCATAACCCCCAGCGATCGCACATTGATGTTTCTCTCTCCCTCCCTCTCTCTCTCTCTCTCTCTATCTCTCTCTCTCCTTCCCTCCCTAAAAATAAATAAAAATAAAATATTTTAAAATGAATTATTTCCCTTTCACAATTTTAGATACCTCAGGTCTTTCTCGATAGTATTAACACTGTAAAAAATTCCAGGAATGTTTAAGCAGGTGCAACTTCTCTTTCAACCTGAATTTACCTTAAGGAATCTTCCTTTTAAAAAGTGATTAGCTTGTTCGTTTATTCATTTAGTTGCATTTATAACTTTCATTATAACTTCTGACTGAACACTAAGCAGCATAGATCTTAGTGTTCAGTCTGATGAATTCTGACATTAGTAAATACCTGTGAAACCACCACCGAAACAAAATAGAGAACATTTTCATTAACCCCCAAAAGTTCCCTTATGCTAGCTTCTAGCCAATTTCACTCCGCTTTCAAATGCAATCACCTTCTGACTTCTACAATAAACTTATTTTGCCTGTTCTTGCACCTCATTTAATCCAACGTGCTTGTGTGTATGTGTGTGCATGTGCAAGCACATCTTTTGCTCTGTGTTTCTGAAATTCATCCATATTGCTGTGATTATCAATAGTTCTTCCTGTTTATTGCTGAGTAGTATTCTATTGTATGGATATACCAAACCTGTTCCTTCACTGTTTCTTTTTTCTTTTTTCTTTCTCATTCAAGGACATGTTTATTGATTTTTTAGAGAGAGGACAAGGGGAAGAGAGAGAAAGAAGCATTAATGTGAGAGAGAAACATTCACTCGTTGCCTCCTGTACATACCCCCACCAGGGACTAAACCCACAACCTAGGTTTGTGCCCAGGCTGGGAATCAAACCGGAGACTTTTCAGTGTGTGGGATGAGGCTCCAGCCAACTGAGCCACACCAGCCAGACTACTCACTCTCTTGCCAATGGACACTAGAGTTTCCAGTTTGGGGCTGTTATAAATAAGGTTGCTGCGGGTATTTCTGAGTTAATCTTTAATTTTTCTCTTCTTAAAAAATGTATTATTGTGAAAGAATTTCAAACTTACAGAAAGTTGCAAAAATTAAAAAGCACAGAACACTCATACTCTTTCTCCAGATTTACCTAGTGTAAATATTTAACCTTTGCTTTATCATATGTGTGTGTACTCTCTTGGTGTGTGTGTTTCCCTGAACCATTTGAAGGCTTTTTACTCCAAAATGTGGCCCTTTATTCCTAAAGTTCAGTGTATATTTCCTAGAATATGAATATTCTCTAATATAGTCATAGTATAGTTATCAATTTCAGTGAATTTATCATCAATACTCTAATCTACCAATCATATTCCAATTGTGTCAGTTATTGACCCAATTATTGACCCAATAATGTCCTTAACAAAGTCCCCTATCCCCTTGCCCCACACTACAAAAATCCAGTTTAGGGTTAGCTGTTGCTTTTAATTGTCACCTTGCTTTAGCCTTCTTTAATCTAGGACATTTCTAAAGCTTTTCTTTGTTTTTACAGCATTGACATTTTTGACAAATACAGTACCCCCCCTCTTTTAAGAAAAAAATGTTCCTCATATAGGTTTTGAGTTTCCTCAGGATTACATTCACATTATGCCTTCTAGGTCAGAATGCTGCCTAAGAGCTGTATCATTTTTTGTTTATTTTTATTTTTTATTTTCACATTTTTTTTACTGTTGTTCAAGTACAGTTATCTCCATCCCCCTTACCCCCTCCCAACCCTGAGTGGCTCATTTAGGGACATGAGATGTCCATCTGTCCTGTATGACTTTAATGTGGACTGCCCAGCCAAGATATTATCCATTTTATTCACTGTAAAATTACTATTTTTTTCTCTGTTGTAACCAATGGGTGGCTTATGGGGAGATAATTTAGGATTACAAAAATATTTTGTTTCCTACCAAAACTTCCTCCTAGAGTTAGCATCCATTGGTAATTCTTGCCTGACTCAATCCTTACTATAATTGTTGCAAAATGCTAATTTTCCATTTGTGTATTCTTCCACATTTACCAATTGGCCCATGACATTCAGCTATATCTGGAGCCCTTTCCTCTGTATTACTTATTTGTTATAGGTATGAAGTTGTTAATTTCTATTTCTTCAATGGCTTTTAATTTATTACTGTACTTATTTTGGTGCACAAATTATCCTAGATTTGGGCAAAAGGAGTCTCTTGTAGATGGCTCATTTGTTCATGTGACACACATACCCATAGTTTTTCAAATCATTTCCTTATTTTCAGGAATAATTAGATGTGCTAGGCTCATTTTATACTTATCTATTTACTTTTAGAGAGAGGGGAAGGGAGAAAGAGAGGGAGAAAAACATCAGTGTGTGAGAGAAACACTGATCAATTGCCTCTCTCACACGCCTTAACTGGGGACCGGCCTGACATTTTTGACAAATACAGGCATGTACCCTGACTGGAAACCCAGGCATGTACCCTGACTGGAAATTGATCCAGTGACCTTTTGGTGGGGAAATGTTCAAACAATTGAGCCATGCTGGTCAGGGCTGTTGACTAAATTTTTGGCTAATAAAAATCTGGCTGCTAGATGGTGTTGTCATTGCAAGTTGGCTCTCCTCAGTCCCAAGCACCCTTGTTTCACTGCCACAGTGTACCAGGTACACAGGCTGAAGAGTGGCTGAAGTATGGACTCCCCAAGTTTCTCTATGCTAGGACAATGTTCCCTCCAAATATGGACAGTTCCTATGTGACTGAATTGGGATGGCCTCATAACTTAACTCACTACTGGTGGCCTTGAGGCTCGGTTGTTGAACTAGTTCATCAGCTCGAACTTCCTATTCCTCCTGAAGAGTTTCTCTTTAGGACACTGTGCTAGTGAGACAGGACTATCTCAGTCAATCAGAGGGGCCCTAAAAATGTTAAACTTCAAAAAGAAAGATTGAGATCACCATTTCTTTCCTCTTAGGAGGCTCTCCTGTGCACTTTTCCTATGCAGGTTTGGGCCTTTAAAAGTAGGGCTGTTTGGAGGAGTGGTCTTGTCAGGATGTCTTGCTGCATAGTTTCCCTGGTGTAGTGGGTACCTAGCTATTCTTCCATTTGTATCAGTGAGGGGAACTTCTCAACTGACTCTTTTCTAAGCAAAGATGATCTGTTCCTGGTGACTTGACATGTTTATCTTGTCAAGGTAATGAGAAGTGATTGGCAGTTTCTCTTAAAAAAAAGTTTTAAGACCTGCTTCTCCAGACTCCCTACTATACATTAATAGAATGATATATGATACAGAAATAGCACAAAAGAGGAAGTGATTAACTTGGCAGGAGTTGGGGGGTAGGAGGAAGTGGTCAGAAAAGAGCGTTTGGAGTAGGAGGCCATCAATACCTCACTTTAAAGGCTGAACTGAAATGGGGAGGGAGGATGTTAGGGTAGGAAGAGTCTGGTATTTCAGGCAGAGAGAAGAGCATAGTCAAGGAAAGACAACAGAGGGGAATAGCAGTGTGCTTTTGTCTCCTGGGGCAGAGGTATAATACATACATCTATTGGAGGGGAGGAGTGCCAAGATAGGAATTCAAAGGTAGGCAGAGCTTATATCATAATTGCCTTTGTGTCAGTGGCTAAGGATCTTGGAGTGGTTCTTGGTGCTAAGAAACTAGTGAGGAAATTATTCATTTGCATCTCATTATCTTTCCCAATAAGCACACGCTGCCACTTTTCTGCCCCTGACCTCAGGTAAATATTATCATCCTCTCAGGCACTTGACTGGGAAATCTCAAGAGTTGTTTAGAAATTTTCTCCCCATTAAATAACTCACCTCCATCCAGTTTGAACCCAAAGTCCTTTCTTGTTTGGTCTGTGTTGAACTGACTCAGATGCTTAAAACCTTTTACTTAGATTATTTCAAAAGTGTTCAAACTGGTCTGTCTGCTTGATGTATCCTCCTTCCATCCATCCTACTCACTGCATGGTCTTCCTAAAATAAAAGCTGAGGTTACTATTCATCCCAAACCTGAGTTAAATATTAAACATTTACCTCCACTAAATATTGACCTCCATTAAACATTTCAACCTTTTCTCCCATTTCACACCCTTCCTTGAACTTCTATCCACAACAGACTTAATCATCTTCCTGCATCTGCTTTGCACCTTCTTATCTCTGTATCTTTGCTGTTATTATATCTTCTAAAACCCCTCCCTTCCATCAATTTTTCAAGGCATGGCCTAAATCGTATCAGCTACATTTAAAAAATGCCCCCAAATTTAGCAGCTGAAAACAATGATAAACATGTACTACTTCCTAAAGCAGAGGTGTCAAACTCATTTTCACCAGGGGCCACATCAGCCTGGAGGTTGCTTCAAAGGGCTGAATGTAATTTTAGGGCTGTACAAATGTAACTGCTCCTTACCTGTTAAGTGAGAGCTCGAGCTGCCGCAGGGTAGAAACAAGGGGCCCGGCAGGATAAACAATATGGAGGGCCAGATTTGGCCCCCCTGGCCTTGTGTTTGCCACCTGTGCTTTAACTCATAGGCTACTTTAATATGTGTGTATATTATACAAGGTTTCATGTGCTCATATTGACTGGCACACATTGCTTTTCTCCAGTGTCCTCAACTGAAGACAGGAACTTCCTGTTACTGTACCTATGCCAGCCTAAATGCTAGGAATAATGATTTCTGCATGGTTAGGACCAGACAGAAGGATGCTATAATCTGTAATGCTCTTCAGATCCTGGGAGCAATGCCAGCTTTAACACAATCCACAATTATTTCTGAATGTCTCTTTGCAAAGAATCGTGTTTCTCAAACTTTTGTTTTGATAAGATCCACATGAAGAAATACATTTCTTATCACTTGCTCGGGCCAGGCAGATACAAAAGACTGGAATAAAAATTTCAAAACAACTCCTTTACACGTGATGCATTCTGAGATTTTAATATCGTTGTTCTATTATTTCCCATTTCATTAAAAAACAAAAAGTGGTGTTCTGGATCTGCCAAACTGATTTCACAGTCCCCTGGAAATTATAACGCACGGTTTGGAAAACACTAGCTTGGAAAAAGGTTTTCGATTTATAGTCATTCTTCCCACATCTCCCTACACTTCCTCGGAGTTCCCGATGGTTGTTTTCGTCTTTGATAACCAAGCTCACAGTTTTATGTAAATGTTCTGTGATGGGGCCATTCCCTTCTTCCGGGCTCCTTTAAGAGGGTGGTAACGGCCTGGGACCGGGGTGGGCGGGGGGAGGGGGAAGCGGCAGGTCTCGTGAAAACCCCAGCGCTGTCCAGGCCCGCTTTTCCAGTTCTTGTGAAAGCCTAGGCGTGAGTGTGCGGAGGCGGGAGTAGGGGTGAGGCTGTTCCCGCCTCAAGCAACTAGGCCTCGGAGGAGTAAAGCATCACCGAAAAGGATAACTGGATTTCCGTGCGACCCCGTTGCTGTCGATTCTGCGGGGTCCGCGCCTGCGCAAAGAGCACCTGGGACTGCTCCGGCTCTGTTGTGCTGGCGCGCGCTCCCGCCCAACCAAAGCCCGAGGTGGGCTTCGGCCGGCGGGCGGCGCGGCGGCGCGCGTCAGGGGGCGGTCCTGCGCGGCCCGCACCACCCTCCCTCCTTGAGCTCCTCTCCTCCCAGTCGCCCTCGCGCTAGCTACGCTGAGGCAATCACCGCCACGGCCCCATCCCTGGCTCGCTCGTTCAGGCGGTGCCATGGCGGCCTTCAGCAAGTACCTGACCGCGCGAAACTCCTCGTTGGCGGGGGCCGCGTTCCTGGTGCTCTGCCTGCTGCACAAGCGGCGCCGCGCCCTCGGCCTGCGCGGGTAAGAAGGCCCATGGGGCGCCGCTTTCCCGGGCCCAAGCGGGCACCCCTCGCGCGCTCTCCCGCCCCGCCTGGTGGCAGGAGGACCAGTCCCTTTGCCCGAGGGGTCAATCGCGGTGAACACCGGCCTCGGCCGCTGCCAGTCTCCAATGTCAGGGTGTCCGGGTGTGTCGGTGGCGCCGCGTCCTCCGTGCTCCCTGCGTCCTTGCGGGCCTCACTGGCCCCTTACTCTGCCTCGGGAGTGTGGGTGTTTCCTCTGCGCCCTCGAGAAAACCTGTGCCTCTATCTTGAGGCTGTCGCCCCTCACTCTGTCCCCAAACCACTTCGTTTCTGTTATTAACTTTATGGGTGTGCACTAGTTTTGCCATCTCATCTCCTGCCACACGATGGCTTGGCTTTGTGGACGTGTTTGAGGATGGCGATTGGAGGCTGTTGTCTAAGTCACTTGGATGAGGTTTGGCACGATTCGCTAGCAGTTGCTTTTGAAGTCCTGAGAATGGTTCCTGTGAACTCTCCTGGATGCATTTGGTAGAATTTCTAAAGTGTGTCGTCTTGGAGTTGGTCAGTGAACCCCCTGACATATCATCGGGAAAGCAAGTTTCCCTCCCCTGGCTCTGCAGGTGTAAGTGTTAGGCGAGGATCGAGATCCTTTTTTATTATACTCCTCTGCTTCCCCCCCTCGAAAGAATTTTAATGTTTAGATTTAATTTAGGGAGACTGTAAGATTAGAGAAAGGTGGAGAGTTGAGTTACTGTTGGGGGCTTACAGACAATTTTCTATTTGCTGGGAGACACTTGGTTTCAGCAAATGAATGAGGTTACTTCCCAAGCATTCTTGCCAGTCATCGGATACTTAATATTAACTTGGCATACTTTTTTCATGCATTTTATTTCATTCATCTCTCTGGGCAGGTACTGTTGCCTTCTGTTTCTGGTTTGCCTAAAATATCTGATTAGTAATAGATTTTGGACTAAAACACTGACAAGTGGCCTTCCTTTGCATGAAGTTCTTACTAACCTTTTGCTATCTTCTTTATCTTACTAAAGCCAAGCGATGGTCTTGCTTTTCCTTCCTAAATCCGCTTAACAAAGTTGAAAATGATTTGCATCTTTGGACAAAAGAGAACTGTACATTTTCACGTATATTTAATTTGCTTTTAAAAGGATTAATTCTGAGAAATATAAGCAATTTTTTCTTTTGGATTGTGTACTTTCAGAGCCCCCAACTGCAAGTGGAAGTTATTTGTTGTCTGATAATATACCAATAGGAAGTGTTAAATGCTGTAAAATAACTTTGAATTTCATTTTTGCAGAGACGTATTTGCGGGAATTTGATGACAACCCTTAAAGTTCGGCTTACTTTTGTGATTAAAAAAAAACTTTGCTTTATTGGAGTATTACTTATATGTAGAAAAGTATACATATCATAAGTGTAGAGCTTGAAAAATTTTCACCAATAGAACTCACTTGTCTAATAAGCATTTAGGTTGGCACTCACCAGATAATATTATCAGCTTTCCAGAAACTCTTTATGTCTCTTCTAGTTACAGCTAAGGTGGCCACTGATTTATAAGACCATATATTATTGAGTAAAAGAAGTGTTAAACGTAATCAACTGGGAAATAGTAGCAACAGTAGCAAAACAGTGTCACAGAATTTGTCTTACTAAATAATTTTGTTTATTCATTATGTAAACTGTTATGAAATCTCTTTCAGAAACTTTTGTGGGAGAGGAATACAAATTATGAGCTGATTTTAAATGACTGAGATAAAATGATTTAATTATTTTAAAACTCTTAAGAATGGTATTGAGTGTGTCTTTGTAGATTTACTTCCAGAATCTTATGAATAGCTTTTCAATTGCTATCTTTGGTATCACAGTTTGAAGAAAAGAAAATTCTAACTTTATTATTTTTTAAATTTTTAAAAATATTTTATTCATTTATTTTCAGAGAGAGGGGAAGGGAGGGAGAAAGAGGGAGAGAAACATCAATGTGTGGTTGCCTCTCACATGTGCCCCCACTGGGGATGTGGCCTGCAGCCCAGGCATGTGCCCTGACTGGGAATCGAACCAGCTACCCTTTGGTTTGCAGCCTTCGCTCAATCCAGAGCTACACCAGCTAGGACAGAAAATTCTAACTTTAAATTTTACTGGATTTTTGGGTATATTTGTTAATAAGGCTAATTAATTTTACTCTCTGGTACTTAATTAAGGAACCTGTGGCTTTTCAGTCTTTTTGGTCTATGCTATCAACAGTAGGCCTGCTTTAGACCATATTTCTTAGAATTAGGAAGGCAATAGAGCCAGTAAAACCACTTTAAAAGTTACAATGTCAGTTACTTCAAACATTGAGAGAAGAGTAACTTAATGTTCTGAGTTACTTTTTGTTAAAGCAGTTTTTTCACCCTGTTAAGTTATATATATATATATATATATATATATACATGTATATATGACTTTTTATTATGGATTTTTTCATATATTTTTAAAAAGTAGACACATAATAATATAATGAACTCCTCTATACTTTACCTGAGAAGTACCATCAATATTCTGCAAGTCTTGTTTTATCTACAGCTCCTTGTCCCCCACCCCTTACTTTTACAGGCTTTTAGGTAAAATTTGTATATGCTCAACTGTACTAATCTTAGTTATATATATATATATTTTTTAAATAAATGGGTACAACAGTCTAACACATATGTTTCATAAATTAAAACATTGTCATCTTCCCAGAAAGTTCCCTTGTATTCATTCCTTGCTGGCACTGTGCTAATTATTTCACCTTAGTTTTGCCTAATTATACATTTTATTTTGTTCCTCATTTATGGGGACTAGAATATTTTTATTCATGGATAAAGGAGACCAGGTATTCAGTTCAAAGGCACTATCTGTTTCAGAATGTATTACTATGCTGGGTGCCATGGGATGAAGAGGGGAGTATGTGTGTTGTTACACAATCATTAAAAAAATATATGACTTTTTTTTCCCCCCTCGGGGAATTTACATACTTGTTAGGGAGAAAGGATTTAAATGTAAATTAGGTAAAAATGTAAGGTGATGACAATGCAGTGTACAGACAGGTATTCCATAAGAGTTCTGAGAAAGGAAAAGATTAATGTGTTTGGGAGGAGTTAGGGAAGACTTTATGAAAGAAGTGAACTAAGCTTAGAAAAGGAGTAGGAATGGATAAGTAGAGATAAATTGAATGTTATAGCAGCCTTTGTCAGCTTTTTGTTGTATTTTATATTAGGAAGAAAAAAGCTTCGTGGCACCCTTTCAATCCATCTTCTGTTTTTTTAAGAAACACAAATATGATCATGTGATTTTTTAAAAAATCTTTCAGCTATTCTAAAATACAAAATTCTTAGCATGAGAGAATGGTGTTTATGATGTGGCACTTCACTACTTCTGCTCATCCAGCCACACAGGATTAACGATCTCTGAGGACAAGGACCTGAGGACCAGGACGGCAGTCTCTGCCCAGCCCTTGCAGTCTGATGGTAATCACTGTCATCCCCAGGTCTTGTCCCCACCCTTTGATGTTTCTTTTCCTTCAAGACTCAGGTCAGTCAACACTTTCTCTTAGGTGTTTTCTACCTTTTCCTGATCTCCGAACTGTTGTTGTTGTCCTCAGCTCTCATGATACTGTAAGCATTCCTCTACTCTAGAAACTACCACTGTGTATTGTATTAGATAATTTTCCTGGCTTCTGCCTACACCAGACTCTGAGTTTCTTAAGGGTACAGATTGAGTCATTTTGAAATCCTAGTTTGCATATGTCACAGGATGGACCAATGATGTAGGATAGTTGAAGAACTTGTAGGGTGATTGCTTGACAGGCAGTTGGAGATTAAGGATCAGTACAAGCATAAGTAGAGACATTATCTTCATAAACATGATAGTTTTGTACCTGGGGTATGTAATATGAGCTGCGTAGTGGGAAATCAGTGGACCAATTTTAGAAGGCAGGAAAAAGGACCTGTTGACATTGCCAAAGTGTTTTATGATCTTAAATAAAACAGAAACTAAAAAGAGAACAAAGCAGTTCTTTTCCTTCTTATAAAATGCTTGTCAAAGTTCAGATTTCTCATCCTGGGTTTCAGATCCTTTCTCCATCTGCTCTCACCTTACCTGGCTAATCTTATATGTCACTGCCTGCCAATGGGTAGTTTCTGTTCCGAATAGGCCAGTTTCTGCAATGTTCTCTGAACAGGCCACACTTACTCCAGGTTTTGGAGCTTTATTCATGATATTAGTGATACCTGGAATACCAGTCTGTATCCTCTTCTCTTCAACTCTTAACCTTTAGGGGTTAGGTCAGGGTCACCCCTCCCATGAAGTAATTTTTAACAACTCTTGAATGATGATAACCCCCTTTTTAACCTTCTGAAGCATGAATTTAGATACCTTTCATATTTTATCTATTACTTGCTTGACTGGGTGTGGTCTATCTAGCTCTCAGTTATCAGGATGTAGGCAAGTCCACCAGCTCATGGGGTGATCCTTCATCCTTTTCAAAGCTCCAGTCCATAGATGATGGGAACATAGTCTCCTCCCCCAAGTATTTCAGAGGAGTTTCAGGGAGCTTGTATTTTTCTTAGACACACCTTACTTCACTTCTTTGCTTCTGCTCTATTTTAGATTCCACTTACATTTTGTCTTTGGAGTCTGTCTTTTTGGTATCTGCATTCTTTTAAAGCATCAGTCACAGAGCAGGTATTTGTAGTAGAGTTTTTTTAAAAAGTATATTTTATTGATTATGCTATTACAGTTGTCCCATTTTCCCCCCTTCACTCCCCTCCACCCTGCACACCCTCTCCCACTCACATTCCCCCCCTTTAGTTCATATCCATGTGTCATCCTTACAAGTTCTTTAGCTTCTACATTTCTCATACTATTCTTACCCTCCCCTTGTCTATTTTCTACCTACAATCTATGCTACTTATTCTATGTACCTTTTCCCCCCTCTCCTCCTCCTAGTCCCCTGTTGCTAACCCT